AAGATCCCAAGTGGCTAGGTAACCTCTTACTCAATGCAGGTTAGGCCTTTACTTTTAGATAGTAGATAGCACAGGATGAGATGAGAGATGGACTTAAATGCCACCTTTTTATGGTCAGTTTCGTGCTTGACAGTGATTATCTGTCTACCTATCCACTGAACCAAAGGGAATGATCCTTCTTTTTATCAACTGTTTCTGAAAGAAAAGAATCTGGATGTTATTTCAAAGTATTACTTTCTTGGTGCCATCTTTTGATGTTTGCTTTTAAATCACAAGTGTTGCTTTCCTTTTAGAGCACCCCTGATTTATAGAAATTATGCACTGAATTCTTTTGTTATTCTCTTTTACCAAATGTATATTATGAAGAAAAGCAAAGAATTCACATGTGAATAGATAAAAATGGCAGGAAATAAGGTGGCAGCTGGTAAAGAGTAAAACTGTTTGGTATAAATCTATTTCATCAAAACATTCTGTTCCTCAGGCAGCTGGAAAGAGCAGGGTGATCCCATACACTGAAATATTTGTTTTCTCTATGTTTTATTTATTATGCTTTAGGAACTCTTTGTGAAATAAGCAAACCTTTCTCCTAACTGCTAAGGAGAAATCCTCAAAGAGTTCACTTTGCAGACCTTTCTCGTGCTGTGGAGTTACAATTAACTCATTCCAATCTGCTGGAGCTAAAGGCTCAGTATTCCTATTTCTCTGCTGAAGAACCAGACTGCAATCCCAGGATAGGGAAACCATGGCAGCTGTACACTGTTGTTTAGACTAGTTCAGGTAAACACTTGTCAAAATCCGTTCAGTAAGTAGACCTATGTGATAAGCAATAGCTGTCCTTCTAACTGAAGGGGATTTTAACTGACCAAATGGATAATAGATATTCTGTGCTGCATCTTTGGGAAGTTAGGGATGAAGAGAGCAAGGAAAGGCCCTTTGTATTCTTCCGGGTAGCTAGGTAAATCTATCTTAATAAATCAGTAAATCTTTTCAGTGAGTCAGAGTAAATTTAGCAAAATCAGCTGAGTCAAAAGCACATTACCCCCCCTCTGCTCACATCATATTATATAAATAAATCAGCGTACGAGCTCACCAGTAAACTTGGCATACTTTTCAGGAACAAAGTGAAAATCATTTCTAGTAACAGGCACTTCTCAGGACTGTAAAAACGTTGTTGCCTCCTTCCTTGGTCATGAAAGGGATTTCTGCCTAAAGGAAAAATAAAAAATAAATTCACTCATCCTTCCCTGTCTTGAGCATATGCATTTGAATGCATCAGAAACAATATATTCTGCTTGTAATTTTCAAGAACTCTTAATGTTCCTATTTTCACTCCTAATATAAAACTTGATTAAAAATACCTACTATATGGATAATATACAGTCAGAACCAACATTCATGAATAGTAGTATCAGGAAAAAAAATAGGGATTGCTTAAGTTGGTGCCTTTCATCTCCAGTTGGATGATATGCCTCTAAAACTGGCTCAGAAGCATTCATATTTATATATGTACAGCAATATTTTTCCTAGAATTGCTACCCCAAAACAACAGATTAAAAATAAATGAAGCATTTGGTTTGAATTGTACATAAAATTTTTAAATCCTCACTTGTATATAGTTTTTGTATTAGTGACTGTTTAGAAGAATTACTGTTTGTTACATGGGAAATTAAAAAACCCTATTTTGGAAAACTAAGTTTTCTCATTCGGGTCCTTCTTTTCTCTTTCTCCATTTCACATCTTTCTCCTACCCCATTCTGATTTTTATAAAGTTAAACTCTTCAGGCAGACCTAACCTGCATTAAATATCCCAGTGCCAAAAAACTAAAAAGTAGCTTAAAGTAGTTTCATGGACTACATACGGCCCATAGTCCCAAAAGTCATTTCACTTAGTCACGTTTTCTTACCCTTACAACTATTTCTTTTCCCTCCTGTGACTGTATGGAAGACTCATGCAGACAGAGGAGTAAAAGAGCAACTAACATTGTTGAAAGAAACAGTAAAATACAAACGTACTCCACCGAGCCTATAGCACTTTCAGATGTCTCAAGCCAGAGAATAAAGGTAACTGCAAACCAGAGCACTCCTATGAGGTGCCAAGATTGTAATTTAAAGATAGATTTGCAGTTTTTAAGTTTGAATTTCATTACTCTTGTAAGTTTATCAGATATTTAGTGCTATTTTTAAGAGACATTAGGTTCTCATGAAAAAAAGTTTAACAGAACTCTGTTTAGGAAAGATCCTGCTGATATACTGCCTATTTAATATTTATGCTACCTTTTTCCTAACAATATCTGAATTTTTAAGTAACAAACATTTACTACATTCTTCTGTTCTTATTTCTCATTCACCACATAAATCATGGTCTTCCTCCCTCTGCCTTTATAGCAGCCAGCTGTGGTTTTAGAAACAAATTATTATGACTTCAAGTGACGAATAAACAGCAGAAGCAAAGGAAGTCTAGAGATACCATCCACATAAAAATCCCATTAATAACATAGCAAAAGAGAACTATAGCAAAGCTGTAAAAAAGCAGCTTTGCATCTAGACAAGTCATATTCCTTTTCTCCAAGATGCATTAGTAACTTCAAAGAAATAGCCTTAATTTGAACACTGTGATATCAGAAGAATATACTTTTTGAGCAAAAGCTGTGTGCCTACATATACAGAATTATTTTAGTAATAAAAATAGGTCTGTATTAATTTTTTATTGTTCTCCTGAACATAGTGACGTCAGGGCCATTCTGAAAAAGTAATGGAGGTTTTCTGCAAGATCTCATATCATAGGTAGCTGAACTGTCAAATAAATTTCTAGGGGCACATTCTCTCCCCTCTTCACATCAATCCAACGAAAACACTCAGTGAGGATTCCACAACTGTCACTGGAGGCTGGATCTGGGGCTATCTGAACTTCACAGACAAAAATAGGAACAAGAATAACCTTCAAGACCTAAATTGTTTTAAACCATTTCTGAGAATGCTTAAGAAAGCCCGTGTTTGTTCCTCAGACCTCATTTTAAATCTGTGCTGCTGCCAGTGATTAAAACCACCTTTCTTCATAAACTGAATAAATTAAATTCAAAAGCACCCAGGCATTACAAACAGATGAAATCATACTGGCCAATATTCCACTTAACAAAGTAGATTTTTTTTTTCTCTCAGATGAATTCACTTAATCACTAAATACAGAACTTAATTTTTAAGACAACTATTCATTCTCTTATCCTCTGATGCTTAAGAATTATAAGCAATAACTGCTACAAAATCCTTCAGGATTTGTAATCCTTCCTCAGTCTTTATTTATTTTTTTTTTTTTAAGAAACGTTGCATTTCAGACGTTACTGGGGAGTGCGACCCAAGGCAGCGTCTCGGTCTGGGAGCTTTCTCTGTGCAGGGAAGCTGCTCCGCTCCCTCAGCCAGACAGTCCAGCCTAATCCATATTCATGTACCCCTCTGGTAACAAAGGCTCCCTCCCCCCTCCTGCCCCGATTTTTAAAGACATTATCTTTTATTATGTTATAGGTTTGGGCTTCTTTCCTGAAATCTTTAAAAAGACACCCCTTAATCCTTCTGCCGTCAATTCTCCCTCCCAGATACCTCTGTGCAATTTGCAGGGAGCCCTGACCTGCAGCCAAGGGCTAGGGTGAGACTATTACGGCTACTTTTGCTTTGTTTTCCCTCTTTTATTTTCTTTCCTTTTTTTTTTTTTTTTTTTTTTTTTTTTTTTTTTTTTTTCCTTCCTCTTTTTATGTCTCTTTCTAAAGTCGGCTCGAGGCCGCCGGGGCAGCGGCGAAAGGTGGCTGGTTACCGAGCAGCACCCACGGGGCAATCAACCATCTTTACGCTGAAAAACAGCTTCGTGGTTATTACAAAAAAATAATAATAATTAAAAAAAAGGGGGGAGGAGGGGGAGGAAATCGGCGCGCGCATCGGCGGGCAATGGCTGTTTGTAGCAACGAGGTATTTAGCGCCGGAGGGTGAAGGGGGGTGGAGACCAGGGTGGGGTGTCCCAGGAGCTTCGGCCGCCGCAAGTCCCTGGCAGAGAGCTCCTGGCACCGGCCCCTGACGCGCTCCCGGCCCCGCGGGCGGGCCCCGCCGCCGCGCTCAGGTGCCCGCGGCTGCAGACGCCGGGCAGGCCGGGCGCCCCTC